AAACGAAAAGAATTTTATTTTAATCTAAAACTTATATGTACGTTTGTCGAGCATTAATCTTGCTAGAAAAGGGGAAATATTAAAGAAGCCAGGTCTAGTGTTCACCGGGCGTGAGATAGATTAAAACAGCATAATGGCATATTAGGATTTTTGTTTGTTTTTTCAGTATATTTTTCTTCATATATATATATATATATATATATATATATATATATATATATATATATACGGGTGGAGGAACGATATATAATTTTTTTTATGTGTCAGAAGGATCTTATCCCACAAACTCTATCAGCTACTATAACTGAAAGAATTTATCTAAGCTTAGCATAAAATCTGTTTCAACTATTTCTAAAACGATAAAATCACTAAATACAAAACTCAATAATAATAAGCTACTACTTGAAGGAAGAATTTACTCTATCACCTGTAATAATTGCCACAAGGAATACATAGGAGAAACCTTAAGGAATTTAAATAAAAGCTTATATGTACTAAAAAGGATTTTTTACAAAACAAAACACTAAGTGCATTGGTTGTTCACCATAATGAATCTAACCATAATTTCGATATAAAAAAATGTTACTTTAATTAAAAAAAGAAAGCAATTTCTTAGGACCAAAATATATAGAAAGTGCTTTAATCGCTAGATTATCCATCGTAAATTTACGTCCAGGTTCTTCCAATTTTTCTTCTTTTTTGGGAGACCTTCTATTATCATACTATGATAACTCAACGGGATGATGGCATAGTGGTGGTAGGAGTTTGTTATACATGTGTTACTGTTATCTAATGACCACGAGTTCAATCCTTGGATCTGGTAGTGATGCACCATTTAATAACAAAAGTGATAAAAACAAAAAGAGACTAAATGTAATTAGTTATAATATATAAACAAACATATAGCCTATATACCCAATTCTTGGAATTGGTAGTGACGTACCATTTAATATTCGGTTAGTACATTTTGCGCGGCCGCTGTGTTTACCACTCCCCCTCCATCTCACAATTATGGTTCATGGTGACATTCAAGGCAGAATAATACAATTGCTTGCTGCTTCCTTTTACACCGCGAATGTTCAGGTTATACCCCCCGCACCCAATCTCAGAAGTTAGAGACAAGACCTACAAAACAGCAGGTGTTTTGAATTTAGTTTTCCATCTCCTAGACCGGCAATGGTATATGTAGATCATTCGCTGCCTGGTCTACATGCTTCCCCACCTCAACCTTACGACTTTATAATCTCAGAAATATTTTTTCTCGATATATATTTTCATTTTTTTCTTTCTGCTATCTTTTTCTAAAACTAATAACCTTTTCGATACTTGTGTTTGTTTATTTATGTACTATTTCGTAATTTGTCTTGCTTTCTAGTTTGATTGTTTATCTAATGTTTTACCGTCCTGGGTATGACGATAAACTACATCCGCGTCCTGGGTAAACCCCCTCTTAATTGCTGGTGTTCCCAGGTCCACCCTGACCCGAGGTGGTATCACCTGTTAGGGCCCCAGCTATGCTCAAATAGTTAACCCCGAAACTGGGGTAAAAATGGGTTTTAATACCAGGAATACTTTGTAAAAAAAAAATTATTATCAGCAATAAATTTTTGAAGAAAAAAAAATATTACCAGCAATACATTTTTGAAAAAATATTACCAGCAATACATTTTTGAAGAAAAAAATGTTACTAACAATACGTTTTTGAAAAAATATTACCAGCAATACATTTTTGAAAAAATATTACCAGCAATATATTTTTGAAGAAAAAAATGTTACCAACAATACGTTTTTGAAAAAATATTACCAGCAATACATTTTTGAAAAAATATTACCAGCAATATATTTTTGAAGAAAAAAAATGTTACCAACAATACGTTTTTGAAAAAATATTACCAGCAATACATTTTTGGAAAAAAATATTACCAGCTATACATTTTTGAGGAAAAAAATATTACCAGCAATACATTTTTGAAAAAAAAATTACAAACAATACGTTTTTGAAAAAATATTACCAGCAATACATTTTTGAGGAAAAAAAAATATTACCAGCAATACTTTTTTGAGGAAAAAAAAAATATTACCAGCAATACTTTTTTGAAGGAAAAATTATTACCAGAGATATATTTTTGACAAAACAAAATATTACCAACAATAAAAACTTTGTCGGCATTAAATAACCCATTGAGGTTGATATGCTTTAAAACACAACAAACCAAACCAAACCTAATGTTTTATATATTTAAAAACCATTAATTTTGCGGGGAGCTTCTAAAACACGTAATGAATATAAGTGTTTATATACCTATATTATGTTCCAAATGTTATCATAGCCGGGGTTGATAGCGAGAACAGGCCCTAATTGACGATAAAATGCTTCCGTGCCATGCGTCTGAAATAGCATCTGACAACTAACTCCAGCTCACGGCCGGAGAATGGGCGGAAAGCGGGAAACTTGGGACTTATATCTCGCTGCTCCGATAAAAATGCACGTGGAAATCCCCGCCCCCTTTGCATCGTTAACAATGCTTGACAATCCTTCATCTAATAATAATTACTAGAACAGCCCGTGAGTTAATTATTGAGTGATCTCATGGGGAAGTCTATGACAATAAAATATCCGTAGAAATTCCTCTGTCGTATTGTTTAATATCGGAAGTTCAACAACTTTAACCAAATATTACATTAACAATCCTAAGTATAAATGCAGGTCATTATTTAATTTATGAAGTAAGAGAATACAAATGAAAAAAATTCAAACTTTAAAACATTTTTTTACTGAACGTTGTTGAAAGTTTTCAAGTCAGGTGTTTTCTGTTATTTGCTACAGTTTCTTATTTGTGATTATGTAGCGCCAGTCTGCGAGGTTCGAAAAACAATGTTCCTCGCTAAGATATACAAGACTACGTCAACGTTTTTTAAGTCTGTCAAGATCAGAATGATTGCATAATTGTATTGACAACTGAAGCTCAATTCGTTGAGGAAATTTGACATATTGTTGTATTCGTTAATAAAAAAAAATGGTTTGTCTTTCATTTTGCATTTGATTTATTTTGGGTTTCAAATGAAGAAACATTTCCATTTACTCGATTTCTTTTTGGAACACGCAGACACGTGTTGAAATCTTCACTGTATTTAGTTATCGCTAAAAATCTCTACGTTTCGTTCAATTTCGCAAACCAATCGATTAAATTGGAATAAGCTGATTTGTTTGGAAAAAAAAACTTTGACAAAAACCTTACTTCACAGTTAAATAATTTCTTTAATTTAATTTAATTTTATAAGACTTCATGGTAAACAATATTTTTTTAAGAAAATTTCTTTTTGCTCTTTTCCTTTTTAACAACGAAGAATAAATTCTTAGGATTTATTACTCTTGAGCATGCAACATACAACCGACCATGCGTAAATATTTCTTTCTGGAGCCAAATTCCAACTTTTGAAGCGTTTGGCTTTGTTATTTGTTTATAGTTCTCGCAAATATAATATTGCTTTTTGCATATATTTTCTCTCAGTTTATATATACAGGAATCCAGTTTCCAGTATATATAAACTGAGAGAAAATATATGCAAAAAGCAATATTATATTTTTATTAAAAATTTGTTATTTTAATCATTAGATTGTTTTTAAAATAGTAGGAGTATTTTGTGTTAAATAATAGAACTTTTAATCTTTCCAAAGAAATGAATAAAAATTTATTGTACTAAGCTAGGCACCCTGGTAAAACCAACTGTACTTTGTAACCCCTTATCTATTTGCACTTCTCCCCAAAATGTGGTTTGGATCGGTCAATGTATTGCTATTTTAGAGGGTGTAACGGATGAACGGACAGACGGACTAACGGAAGTCACATAATTTTATATGTAGGTACCTCGTGTGTTTGTTTACATCACCAAGAAAACAAGTGCGTACCTATTAATAACGGAAGTTGGTGATTACTTCATTTGGCAACTATTCGGGAAGCGGAAAGGAGTTGAAACGACCTTACATGATAGACGTCATTACTTTCCAAAAAAGAAACGAGCTTAACTCTTTCTGCGTCATAACCTTTTATAATTTATTTTCTGAAGGCTCTTTTCTCAAGCACGCACCGATAATCGACCCAGTAAACTAAGGGTGATTCTGTAAATGCAATGATTTTGTAAAGGTTCTGTGCAATACATAGTATTTACTCGTCTTCTCACGGTACCAAGATGTGACGCAATGTCTGCTTCACGTAAGGCACCCGAGTGTATACACCCGGGCCAGGTCCAAAAATTGGCCAGCCCCCGCAACCGTCGCTGACATCGGTATTACTACCGATTCCCTTCTTTATTGTAATGTCGGGGATACTTGCGCGAGCTTTTGTTCCTCTCTGTATAATCCATTATTTTAGTTAACCTATGTGTCACCTAAATTATCTTAATACTTACTACAAGCAACGGTGTATCCTGAGTGGGCTTGCGAACCTTGACACTGTCATCCTCATCTTCTGTGCCATCAAGCTTACGGCTACATCAGGTTGAAACACCTGTTCCCGTACGATCACCGAAGTTAAGCAACGTTGAGCCTGATCAGTACCTAGATCGATCACCGCTTGCGAATACCAGGTGCTGTAAGTGCAGGTGTGCATATGGTGCGATGGATAGTGACTCGGAATTGTTAATCGGAGAGCCGAGTTCCAATTCCCGTTGCGTTCGTTACGCGCAAATAACCTTGGGAAAGGTATGAATCTATCTCTTCTCCCCCAACTATGGATTAATTAGTAAGATTTGTATCACTAAATTATTATTATTATCTGATAAAAAATTCTTACAATCTAAAAATAGTTTATGGCTTTATATAACCTACAAGGAATTGATAACTCGTAGATAAGGAATCAACCAACAAAATTCAGACCCATCACTGGGTGTGGTCATAGGCTAGCTGCGATCTTGACGAGTTCCCTTGACATGTTGAAAGCCAAAGAAGTATTCATTTGTGTGTTTGGGGCAAGTAGACCTGGCGGAGCCTATCTCTCTCAAGATCAAATCCTGTCTGATAAAGATTTGTCTTTGTCACGGATACATAACCGTTGATTCCATCAAGAGAAACCTCTGCCCTGTTTGTTTACCAGTCTAGGAAGCCTCCTGTCTAGTAATGCCGTATCATCACCGCGTTGGATGTAAACATATCTATGGATCCCAGTTTAACCCATTGTGCTATATTGCCATTAACCAGACAAGAATGTTCATCCGTTCTTTGTCGGGTCTTGTTTTTAATCCTTCTGGGTGTTGAGCCACCCTACTCCCTAGAAAAGTCTGGTTGGGGAACCGGTTTAAGCACCGGTAACCCGACCAAGTGTAAGTAGTACTTTCATGGTAATTTGAAATGAAAAGAAATATTACAATGCTAACTTCTTCAATTATAGGGTGAACCTTTATCTTTCCGACGTATCCTCATAATCTGCACTTCTCACATTCTCCTCCTCTTACATGCATCAAACAATCTCATTTATAACTCTCTATCTTGAGCAGTTCTTGGGCCTTGTATTTGAACAATAGCGTACAAAGGGAAGGTGCTACTCTCATAGTTTGGAAACAAGGAGAGGAAAAATATTCCACTTTGATCCAAACGTAAAGACCTTGGAAAAGCGAAAATTTACCCATCTTACCCAGAATGGTAAGATGTGACATAAGATCGGATTAATGCGGGGCGCCGTACATATAAGCCAAGGACAAAAATTCCCCAGCCTCTGCAACCAATGTCACACTAGCGTCGATATCCAAAACCTCTTCTCTTTAGAGCAATGGATTAAGTGCTGCCGTTTAACTTTAAGAATAATAATAAAAAAACAGACACTACGCTTTGATCCCAGGCGGATAAAAGAAACATTGAAATGTTTCTTGCTTAAAATCGCATCATACATATGCATTTCGAGTGAAATTATTAGTTTCGTGTTTATTTGATCCTTCAGGCTTCATTCGAATGCTTAGACCGTTCGCTTTCGAACATGAGACCCGGGTTCGAAACACACCATGGTCGATTTGTCAGGAAGGTGAATTCTTTATATTATCAACCTGGGGAGGCAATCCCATCGTGCAGCACCTTTGGAAAGTACCTGTAAACTATATCCCAGGTTGACCCAAGTGTTGTGAGTGAATTTGGGCAGACGGAGCTCTTTAGAAGCTGCCGATAGTTGTGCAGGCACGAAGTCATCGTGTCTGAGGGTTTGAGCGTGCTGACCTTGTCCAGACTGTTGCTCTCGCCAGATAAAGCGTTATCGCCCAGAAACTGTAACTAAACTCCGTTCAGCTTAGTTTTTTTAAGCATTCACCCCAAGCAAGGCGGGATGCCACTAGCACGCAAGGGGTTACAGAGAGTGGGTGCGAGAGTAAAGAGGGTGTGATAGAGGAAAGGCTGAGGAGAAGGACAGTGACTAGATCAAGGCATCTGAAGATTTCGATTGACATTGAATTTGAATGATTAAAGATTATAGCTATCAGGGAAGCAAGTAAGAGGAAGGGAGTTCCACAGACGGGAAGTGCAAGACATGAAGTTGTTGGAGCAGAAGAGACGGTTACATTTAACCGTATCGACAGTGAAAGGGTGGGACTGAGATACCAAACTAGTAGCACGCTTAAATTAAATGCAGTTTTGGAACCAGCAAAATTAGCTCGTCGGAGCAATTACCGTGAAAGTATTTGTAGAAAAGACAGAGGGTAGCGATGACACGTCTGTGAGAAAGCGACTGTGATGCCAGATCAGGGCCAGTTACATTGCATATTCGTCTCTGGATTTATGTCGAGGACCTTAAGACGAACAGCGGGAGCTCCAGACTATATAGTGATCTTCCAAGCGTAGCTTAGATGTGGCACAAGGCCGAAAAAGCTCCAGGCCATATATGGCAGCAGTGTTCCATGCAAGGGCGAATGATTGATTTATAGATTTGAAGGATGCGCTCGGGCGAGAAAAACTTTCTGGTGCAACACAGAGAACCAACCTTCCTTGCGGTAGATGAAGCTATTGATTCAGTTGCAGTATAAAACACAGGTGGGTTCTGTGGGTGTTGAACAAATACAAATGTGTCTGAGAAGGCGTCTGAAACTCGGATATGAGCTGCCGGCAATTAATATTAGATTATTTTTCGTGTGATCTTGTGCCAGACTAAGCTAACATTTTCGGTATAGGCATGCATTTTTGAAGCAGAGATGTAGCTTTACGCTCAGTTTTTTTTTTAATATACACGAACGCGCGTAGAAAGTCGTATTTTTGTACCCAAATAACAACACATAACCAACACCAGAACAGTAAGCGAATTGGTTTTGACTTCAAAGTACTGCATTTGGTCCTGCTTTATTTTATTTTACTTTTTTTTTCTTTTCTTTTCTTTTCTTTTTTTTTTTATCTGCTTATAGGTTTTCTTTCTTTTATCTCGCTTTCACTCTTCCACTCTCTCACACACACTTTCTTTCTCTATCTTTCTCTCCTTCTTAAACCCTGGAGTTTAGAAACAGATTCTTTCAAGGGGAGATAACCGTATCAGTTAAAAAAGCGGTAAGGAAAAAAAAAAGAAACAATTTGTTTTTTCTTGTTTGCTTTTCATTTTAGCGAAGGAAATAGCATACCAAGGTATGAAATATTCTTTTAATTTCAAAAAGCGAATAAATATGACGTAAGCATCGTTTTTACCTGTAAGCAGTCCAATGCGAACATTCATTTATCTTACTTGGACTTAGTGAGATTATATTTGGCAACAGGTCGGTAGCCTCCTGGATCTGTGAGGGAAATTTCAATCACAGACACTTAACGCTTTTTTTTTCTTTTCACCCATATCTACTGTTCGTGAGAGAGTGCAGTTTTAAGATACATCGTTGTGTGTTGGATGTTTCCTTTTAGCTAGATATACAGTAACCTGCAAGTTAATAACAGATTAATTGGCGTTGTGCTTTCGTTACCAGATGTTGTGTTTATATTTTATTGACGTAAATAAATGTTATGTTAATTGCAGTAAAATTCTTCGGTTAACAAACGGCATTGCAAATGGTAAACACAGCTCCAGAAAATAAAAAAAAAAGGTAGTTGAAAAAAAAAGATGCTAAAGATGGAGGCTAAATTAAAAGGAGGCTTTGGAAGAGGAGGAAAGAGAATGTCAAATCTCCTATCCCGAGTACCACGAATGGCGCAAACGAAAAAAATGCAAGTCTCTTGCTCAGGTGTGTCATTTGAAAGAAAATTACTTTTATTAGAAGACAAAAAGAATATAATACAGAATGCAATATTTACAAAACAAGCTTGCACAAAATTTTCCATTGTGCACCGATTAATCAGCCAGGATAACAAATTCTAAATACAGTTGTGTTGGACTCATAAAAAAAAAAACAATTATAATTACAGTGTAACCCGGATATAAGAGAGTTGTCGGGACCGGAGAAGGATCCGGATATCCGGGTTTAATCTATTTTATACACATTAACACTATCTAATTAGGGACCAGGAAAATCTCTTATATCCGGGTTTAATCCGGGTTTTATCTATTTTATATACATTAACACAGGCTCTAATTTGGGACCAGAGAAAATCTCTCTTATATCAGGGTTTCTCTTATATCCGGGTTTGGTCTATTTTACATACATTAACACAGGCTCTAATTTGGGACCAGAGAAAATCTCTCTTATATCAGGGTTTCTCTTATATCCGGGTTTGGTCTATTATATATACATTAACACAGGCTCTAATTTGGGACCAGAAAATCTCTCTTATATCAGGGGTTTCTCTTATATCCGGGTTTGGTCTATTTTATATACATTAACACAGGCTCTAATTTGGGACCAGAGAAAATCTCTTATATCCGGGTTTCTCTTATATCCGGGTTTGGTCTATTTTATATACATTTATTTGGGACCGGGTTTATATCAGGGTTTCTCTTATATTTTATATACATTAACACAGGCTCTAATTTGGGACCAGAGAAAATCTTATATCAGGGTTTTCTCTTATATCCGGGTTTGGTCTATTTATATCCGGGTTTGGGGAAAATCTCTCTATTTTATATACATTTAACACAGGCTCTAATTTGGGACCAGAGAAAATCTCTCTTATATCAGGGTTTTCTCGGGTTTGGTCTATTTTATATTATATCCGGGTTTGGTCTTATATCCGGGTTTGGTCTATTTTACATACATAAACACAGGCTCTAATTTGGGGACCAGAAAATCTCTCTTATATCAGGGTTTTTCTTATATCCGGGTTTTCTCTATTATATATCCAGGCTCTAATTTTGGAAAATCTCTCTTATATCAGGGTTTCTCTTATATCCGGTTTGGTCTATTTTACATACATTAACACAGGCTCTAATTTGGGACCAGAGAAAATCATTCACATATCAGAGAAAATCTCTCTTATATCCGGATTTCTCTTATATCCGGGTTTGGTCTATTTTATATACATTAAAACAGGCTCTAATTTTGGACCAGAGAAAATCTCTTATATCAGGGTTTCTCTTATATCCGGGTTTGGTCTATTTTATATACATTAACACAGGCTCTAATTTGGGACCAGAGAAATATCCGGGTTTGGTCTATTTTTATATCCTAATTTGGGACAAGGTGAGGGTTTCTCTTATATCCGGGTTTAGTCT